CATGCCTGAAGCTAGGGTGAGATAGTCTCGGAAGAGTCTATAAAATAACACTGCTGACTTTGCGTCAAGTGCACAGAGTACCTCGAATCCGCGAACTGGGATATCGGCCTCGCCGCCCAGGCCTACTACGCCGACCATGATTCCGGCGAGGAAGAGATCGAACCCGTTGCGCAGGCTCAAGCTTCTGCTCCTGCTCCCGCCGAATATACCGGTCCCCGAACTCTCGATGGACGACCCGCACCCGAGTCGGCCGGCAGAGCGAGCACCGTGAAGAAGGCAGCACCTAAGAAGAAGGGTCTCGCAACGCTTAGCTCTATTGGAGGGGGCCACACACACGACGATGATGACGATGAAGATGATGAGGACGACGATGATAGGGGTCGCGGCGATCTCTTTGCTGGCGGTGAAAAGTCTGGACTGGCTGTGCAAGACCCGTCTCAAGAGGGCGGTGGTGCTAAGAAGATCATCAGCGACATCCTCGCCAAGGCCAAGGCGTAAGTTGACAATGCAAGAGGATACTACGGGGCGGCAAGACTAACAGAGGCCAGAAACGCATCTCGGCCAGAGACTGCATCGCCCGCGGGCCCTTCGCGCTCCGGTGCTTTCCGCGGAAGCGGCACCACGTTGGGTGGCGAAGGCTCCGAGAGCCGCAGCATTCCCGATCCTGATGCTCAGGAGGGTGCGAGTGGCTCAGCGGGTGCGACTGGCGAGGCTCAGGAGCGCACGCTGCACCTATGGCAGGACGGCTTCAGCATCGACGATGGCGAACTTCACCGATTCGACGACCCCGAAAATGCGATGGATCTCAACATGATTCGGGCTGGCAGAGCCCCCCTGCACTTGATGAATGTTCGCTACGACCAGCCGGTTGACGTGAAGCTTCATCAGCACCAGGAGAACTACCACCCGCTGCCCAAGACATACAAGCCGTTCGGTGGAGAGGGCCGCCGACTCGGTAGCCCCGTCCCCGGCGAGGGCAGCTCTTCGTCCACCACAGCTGCCCCTGCTGCGTCGGTGTCGGCCAGCGCCAGCTCGACGGGTCCTCAGCAGGCCGTCGATGAGTCTCAGCCTACCCTGACCCTCCGTATCCAACTGCCCAACGGCACCAGGCTGCCTGCTCGCTTCAACACCACCAACACCGTCAATGACGTTTACGAATTCGTGCAGCGCGCTTCTGCGGATACCCGCACCAGGTCCTGGGTGTTGGCCACGACTTTCCCCAACAAGGACCACACTGATCGCAGCTTGGTGTTGGGCGAGATGTCTGAGTTCAAGAAGGGCGGCACGGCGGTCGTCAAGTGGGCCTAAAGCACGAGGCAAATGGAAAAGAAAATGGCGGGAAACGGGCGGCGTTTGGTACTTTGGGGCCTTGATCCGCATTATAGCCGGGTGGCTTTGGGTCTGGGCATTTGAGGCCGTTTGCCTCTGCGTGGAATGTAGACTTTGCTCGAGAAATAGACATGCCCGGATGAAACAGTAACATCAGGTCGGCAAGTCCTTTATTGCTTGCTGCCATAGTACCTTGTGCTAATTGTACAAGTACTTGTCTGTCGTACAGTTTTTAGGTCCTTCAACGCCCTTTCAAATGGTATCATTAATCATCCCTTGCCGTACGCCACTGCGGCAAACTGTTTGTTGCCTATACGTATAATCCAACTAGAAACAGATCTGCGAGGTCCGCGTTATTTACAGCCCCTCTTTGGAGTACTCTCATGCTGTGCTGCCGCCGCCTTGCGAAATCATGGTGGCCGGGCCGTCTAGGAACTTGAAGTGCTCAATCGCAATCTGGCAGTTGAGCATGGCGGCGTTGAACCTGGCCTCTCCGGGTGGCAGGATGACCATGAGGTAGGTATTCGTCGTGAACTTGAGGATGAAGAGGTTGAAGCGCGTGCCGGCCTTGTGCTCCATGCGCACGAACTGCTCCGCGTTGCGCGGGGTGCCGGTGAAGCGGCTGATGGTCTGCTTGAAGTGCTTCATGATGTTGGACATGCGCTCCAGCCTGTCCTCGGTAGGGTTCCGCTGGCCTTCTTCCGAGGTCCAGGACGAGACGGCGAGGAAGGAGGTGCGCTCGAAGAGAAGGAGCTCCTCTGCCTCGATGGCGACGCCGAGGTTGGCGAGGTTTCGTTCGATCGTGGCCAGGTTGGGGACGAGGTCGTGGATGATGCTCGCCCAGGCCTTGTAAAGGCTCTGGTCCCAGATGCTGGTGGCGAAGGGGGTGATGTCGAAACCGCCGGCGGGGGGCGCGGTCGAGGGGCTGGTGGGGTCGTCGGCGGCGTCTGGGTGCTGCTGGTGGAGGTAGCCGATGCTGTTTGCGTACTCTGCGGTGCGCTGGCGGACGACGCGGACGCGGTCGTCGTAGACGGATTCGCGGTGGGCGGGGACGACGAGGTCCATCTTGTGGATGAGGACATAGATTTTGGCGCCCGGGGAGAATTGCAGGAGGGCGGAGATGATGGAGACGTAGGTTGCGAGGTCGCGGTCAATGTCGCGAGACTCAATATCGAAGACGTAGATGAGGACGCCGACGTTGGAGAAGACATGGACGCGCTGCTGAGAGAGGTAGTTTTCCATAAAGGCCTCTTGGCCGCCGCAGTCCCAGAGGTTGAGGGTGAGGTTTCCGAGGAATTTGACATGGGAGAGGTCGATATCTATCGTTGCCCCGCTGTTTGATATTATGATTAGCCTCTATACGGAAGGCATGGCTAGAGTTACCACCAGTAACAGAGGAACAGGACTTACAGTCTCCGGGTATCACGGGCAATATAGTTGCTAAAGATGATGCTTCGCATGCTCGACTTTCCCGAGCCACTCTTTCCCATGAGCAGGACCTTCTTCTTCTTGGGCTTCTTGACTTCAGCCAAGGGCGTGTTGCCCGGGCCATTGGTGTAGCCGGCGTCAGCCATGTCGTGTGTAGATTATCTTGCTGTGCTCGCGATCTGGAGAGCTATCCAGCACGTGGTGAGGAGGGGTTCGTGGATTGGGTGTGGGTGGTGTTCTGCAATTGGGAATTTCGGTGTCGTCGGATTCTTGGTTACACGATCCGTTGTCGGGGAGTCTTGAGGCTTGCGTAGAGATCGAACACCTTTAGAGACCAAAACGAGTGACTGGTATGCGGTGCTAAAGAAGATGGCTCGATAGCGATTTAGTTTGTGTAGCCTGGTTGCGATGTTGGAGTGCTCGAGGGATTGAATGTTGATCATGACCGCCTATGGGATGGGCTCCCGCGACCTGATTTCCAGGAGCCGCGCAGTACGTACCTTTAGGTACCTTGACGGTGACCTCCAGGTGAACCGGAGCTTGCGCAGTCCGATAAGATAAGCCGCTGCCTGAGGTGCCCTGTGAGCCCCCTCCACCAACACGACGGCTGAGTGCTGCGGGACTTCGCTTTTGCCATCGCTCAGTTCTCCAACTTTCAGCCCCAGGTCCACTCGTTCATCCCATCCATCTCTTGTTTTACCCGCTGAGGAATACGATGGCGCGGGACCATCGAAGCCTCTCATCCTCGCTGCCGGATTTTGACACAATTTCCTACCGATCCTGGCGTAACTTGCAAGTTCAAGGCGTGCGCATCCAACACTGAGAATGCCATCACCGGAACGAGTGCGACTTTGTCGTCGATGATACCAAGAACATCTTGACTTACACCAATGTCGAGCTGTCTGCCAAGGAATCTCGTCAATGGGACAATGGGTGACACGAAGGACCACGAAAGCGCAAGATACGCATCGGCTCAAGGTGCCCGAAAAAAAGTCTATGCCGGCGAAGACGACATTGTGTAACGGCGCCTTGCTGGGCATTCTCGACAGAGGTCGGCTTGACAACCATCGCACGCCTCCCTCGCGACACCACCACCCATGATCTGATCATCAGATATGGCGGAATCAGACTTTTCTTATGCCCACGGGCCACGGGACATAATCTGTCATCGAGCGATGCAGGTCTTGGTTGCTGCACCTCTGCCACAGAAGTCAACTTCGTCATCTGGAGGATGAATCTCGCTGGCAAAGTTGCCCTGCACATGGTCTATGGTGCGTCGAGGCCCAGCCATCGAGGGAGTCCAACCTCTTCTATTGTGTCGTGCTTAATGGAAGGGATATGCTAGAGCCTAGCAGTCCAATGGTCACTGGCTTCACTGGCAAAGCTGTCGAAAAAGGGACTGTTTTGGGGTGCCACAGATGCCCCGCCGCAGGCTGGATTCTGAGACCTTGTCTTGGTTGTCGACCCTTAGACTCCCGTCTTAGTTCGACTCGCTTCTCCCTTCGACTTCGGGCCAATGAGTGCGATGCAGTCACCGAGTCTTGGGATCCCGTCTTGCGCATCAGTGTCTGAAATGATTTTGACTAACGATGGGACTAGTGACAGGTTGTCTGTTGGATCCGATTCGTGCCGTCCACCCTCTTGAGCATGTTCTGCATGTTCATCCCTCCAAAGCATGAAGCTGCCGGCGTACACGAAGCGAGCACATATGACTGTTCAGGTCCCCCACCAGGCTGGCCCTGGTATTTGCTGCTTCGTAAATTTGGTTTCAATGTACACGCTGTTCGTTTCGTGGTTCGTCGCGGTTCTTTTCTTGGACGAGCCTTTCTTCATAGGCATAGTTGTTGCTTAGTTGTGACATCGGTATTTTACGCAGGTGATCTTGAACCTATGTTCAAGACGCGAGACGGAAAACAATAGGGATAGGGACAAGAGACCATCACAGCATCTCCAACATGAACCCCCTGCACGCGCATCCGCAGCAGATCCCGCCACGCCGGCCGGAACACCCATCCAGTAGCCGATCACGCGGAACAAGTGCGCCAGGTCAAAGAACCAGAGTCGAAACGCAGTACCGCCCACCACTGCCAGTCAACCGACCTACCATTCGATCAAGGTATACCTCGCCAGAAGATGCACCAAAGACTGCTGTGCCGCCGGTCCCACTTCAGCGGTCGAGTGCCTCCTCGGGACGCGTCTACAGCTCGTCGACGAGGCCATTTGACAGAAGCCGAAGCCCGGTTATGACGCTGCGCATCCTGTCACATAGCAGAGAAGGACATCGAGACAAAAAGTGTCAAAAGGAGGACCAAGAGAACCGGATGGTCCACGACTCCTGGGAGTTTCCCGTTCCGCCACGGGGCCTCGTACGATCTGGGAACGTCAAGCAGACCTCACCCAAGCGCCGACGCCTGCCGCTGAGAGACTCGATTCTCTTAAAACGCAAAGATTCCTCTGATTCCTCCAAAGCTGGCGGCGTAGAGACGTCAGCTAGTACACCTCGCAAAGCTCCGCCATTGTCGGAGCCACAGACACCGTCTAGGCCGACGCACTCCATGAGCATGCCAGTGACACCATCAAAAGGGAGGATGTCGGACCTGCCTAGGTATGCGTGCCTATCGAGTTTACCACTTTTAACGTCGGCCAGCTAATTAGTGAACAGGCTTGGAGCCCGTCCCAAAGATCAACAACTCAGGGAGGGTCACTCACAAAATCAACCTGCACGTCTACCGCCAAGAGACTCCAATCTGGAAAGCTACCGCAAGGATCTCAAGGCGTCAAATGATGCTCTGCCGGATGGTGAGAAGCCGTTGGTGTCTCGTATCTGTTCCATGATCTTGGACGAGGAGTTTGGCGCCGGCGCCGACAGATCCTCGACGCCCCTCAAGGTCTGGGACACCGTAGCACGATGTCTCGAAGACATCTCTCGCCTTGCACAGACAGGAGTCGCTAGCAGTGGGAGCGGAGGGCCTGCCCAAGCTCGTCTGGCTCTGGAATCGAACCCGGCCCAGGAGATGACAGGCAGAGCTGGTGGTCAAACCAAGATCGCTGGGACAGACGAGCGCAACACAGAGTCCTCCAAGCAAGATACAAGGTCCAGCGGGGGGTCATCGATTGTTGACTACTATGCCTCGAATTATCAAAAAGAAAGCAGTAGCCAGGGTGGGTTGCTGCCATGCCCTTACAGGCTGCGTAATCCGGCACGATTCAACGTCAATGACAAGTGGCTGTGTGCTAATGGAAGATGGAAAGACTTTGCAGACTTGCAGTATGTATCATGCCATGGTCGGAATCAGAAGGGCTACTTACTTGTTTCAGGAAGCATATCGCAAAGGATCATAAGCGTTGCGGCGATGCTCACCTCTTCCAGTGCCCGCGGTGTGAAGATGGTTTCTCGGAGCCCAATGCATTCAAACAACACTTGATGCTCCCAAGAGAGCAAATGTGTGAACCACGATCTGAGGGTGATTCTGAATGGACCGATCCAGAAGACGGCCTCAGCAGTGCGAAAGCCCAGAAACTATCTGAACAGACAGGCAACAAGGTATTCGACTCCTGGGATGAGTTGTGGAAGTGGCTATTCCCTCTGGACAGAGTGGTACCAAAGCCTGGTGAGTATTACCGGACTCATGAATGCAACCAGATTCACTGACAGATTTTAGCTGCTTTACCCGCCGTAGAGCTGCCGCTGGTAGAACAGGAAGTCTTTGCTGCCGGCAACATGTCGAACCTGAAGGCTAGCTTGGAGGAGCGCCTTCGCTTCCTCGCCTCACAATCGGCCGACAGCGGCTCGTTTTCCGCGCAGATACCTGTTATCACTGCGTCCCTGTCACTGGATGTTGAGGCGCATCTCAGGAGCGTGTTCATCTCATGCCGTAATCAGCCGCCTGTCCACACCGGAAAGTCGTCAGCGTCAGTGGACACAGCGACTGGCCGACCACGTAACCTGTCATCTGCGTCCAGCTCCAGCACCAGGAGTCTCCAACGGTTCGCTCAGCGTGGCCCTACCATTGCCGTAAAGGAGAGCAAAGGTGCCGCGTGGGACGGCCCCAGCCTTGATCGTCAACGTCAACGTCAGAGAAGCAACAGCGACGAAGCGAGGCGCGAAAAGCTGACGGGGGCCGCGACGCTTCCAGTCCCAACAATGCTCACGATACCATTCCCTCGCATATCAGCCTTGACAGAGCACTCTGATGTAGGGCCCAGCCCAGTCTCGGAACACGACACCTCGCCGAAAGCCCACTCGGACGCCGAGTACTCTTCGGGCGTCGAGTCAACGCCGAGCAGCGCGGGCGGATACCGGGAATCCAGCAACAGTAACACGACAGCAGACATTAGGTGCAGCAAGTGCAACATGAGAGAGAGTCTTCGACCGGGCGAGGACATTTTCTCAGACAAGCGCCACTTTAGCAGTTCCTCAGCTGCAGCGCAGGAAATACTGAAGTCGACGTGCAGGTTCTCCGACTCCGGGATTGGGATCCTCTGCAAGAGCTGCCGGATGCTCGAGGAGCTGATTAGTTCGTACTCGCGGGCTTCATCTCAGGCGTCGGCCAAGTCTGAGCGACTAAGCCTGCCGATGGCTGGTGGTAATGGTGGTGGTACTGCTGCTCCTGCCACCGCGAGGAGTACCGCCACGAGCGTGACCACTAATACGAGCCTGAATACGGCCCCAATGATGGTGCCGCCGTTCTCGCCGAACCCGTCTGTCTCGGTAGATGAGAGCGAGGAGGAGACGCTGTTTGATTTGATCCTCGACTCGGCGACGTACCTGGACGCGGACGGGCAGCGCAAGACGGAGGTGGTGTCGCCCATGTTCCCGCCGCCGCAGATTGGGTTTTCAGAGTACGATCGATATGGGGGCCACGGCGGTAATTGGTTTTGACTCTTTGCCATTTTGCTCTGCTTCTTCTTGGGATGTTTCTTTTGTTCTTCATCGGGTCGGGGGCACAGAAATAGAGCGGTGTTTGGTGTTTGGGAACCAGCGTCGCGCACTGCTTTCGGTTTCAGCCGTTTGGAAGGAAAATTGGTTGATTATTCCCCATATGTTATTATTTGACCATAAGCTTATGGTTTGGTGTTTGCTAGGTCATGTGAGATACCGAGGCCGCTATCATGACACTGTAGATACCCACGATATTCGTGTGGTTTTGTTTTTCGTCTCCCTGAATACCACAGTTCTACTCGTCATTTGACAGCATAGTAATCATTGAGTAGAGCGAACAGGTGCTATCACCACATGACCACGAACAGAGCTTCTTGGGACTCTGGATAGGTATTTACGGTGTTGTATGAAACCTGGGGTTGGATGCCCGCCGTGTCCGAGCAGAGGATCCGTCAGCCCATGTTCCTGGCCAAGAATGCAGGTGCTGCTCGACGATCTGCACCTGCCGTCCCCGCAATTTTAGTTCAGTCCTGTGCGCAACGAAGGAAAGAAAGTATCGTGTAAGTCGTCTCTCTCGTTGAGGAGCTTCGCCGACAGCCTCCAAAGCAATTGATCAACGGGATAGAGAATGGCATAGTTTGGAGATTCCCTTTGTCAAGTGTTACTTCTCACATTCCCATACAATTTTCCAACAGCAGCGCTAGGTACAGCAGTGAAGCTAGTGATGGGAAGACTTGCTGTGGTACACTCCAGACACACGAGACTAACCGCATTAGCCAATTCATCGGATCGGGACGCCCAGTGACGTCGGAGAACAAGGGGTAAACCGCCCTACCGCGGGGTAGACGTCATCCTTACAGCACAGCTTTAGAGGCAAATTGGGGAAGGAAGGTACCTCAGCACGCAAGCACAGCGAGGCAAGGTAGCTCCGACTCGGAGCTTCCAGCTTTCAGATGTAAGGGCAATTCGGAAACATGCCACCAGAGCTCGTTCCGGAGCTTCCCCTCCTCCCTGTTTAATACATGTGCCATTCAAATACTGTTTAGTACCTACCTTTTCCCCTTCTCTTTTTCTCTCCCTTTCATTTGAGAGCTTTATTGAAGGTTTCTTTGCTTCTGTCGTACAAGATCATTGAACCCAATCTACGATAATCCAAAGCACAATGACGGACCGAGGAGAGGGCTACAATGCCCGCCTAAGCGTCAACACCAACGAACTTCCCACGCCACAACACTTACCCGTGGCATCGGGCGCCGAACAAGACCGGTACGGTGGCTGGTTCGGTGGCAAAGCCGATAAGGCTACCGAGAAGATTGAGCATGCCGCCGACAGACTGAAGGAGAACCTCCCCCGCGGCGCCGGCGCCGAACAAGAACGCTATGGAGGCTGGTTCGGTGGGAAAGCTGACAAGGCCACCGAGAAGCTCGAGAACGCCGCGGACAGGATCAAAGAGAACCTGCCCCGAGGAGTCGGTGCCGAACAAGACCGCTACGGAGGCTGGTTTGGCGGAAACAAGGGAGACCAGGCTGCCGAGAAGCTGAGACAGAACCTCCCGCGCGGTTCTGGGGCCGAGCAGGATCGCTACGAGGGCTGGTTTGGCGGCCACGAGCTTCCTTCTGTCGAGAAGCTCGGCGAGAAGTTGCCGCGTGTGTCTGGTGCCGAGCAAGATCGGTATGATCGTTGGTTCGGTGGTAACAAGGGGCAGCCCGCCGGCACTTGGGTCAAGGAGCACTTGCCCAATGCCTCGGGCGCCGAGCAGGACCGGTACGCTGCGCACTGGGAGGGCGTGGTTGACCAGGTCACGGACAAGATCAAGGAGAAGCTACCTTCCGCCGCCCAGGTAAACGAGAAGCTGCCAAAGGGGACTGGCGCAGAACAGGATCAGTTTGGAAGTTGGTTCGGAGGCGACAAGTTGCCGTCTGCCTCGGAAATCAAGGACAAGATCCCAAAGACGTCTGGTGCTGAGCAAGATCGCTTCGGTGGCTGGTTCGGTGGCGACAAGCTGCCCTCCGGATCCAAGGTCAACGAACACCTCCCTCGCGCCTCGGGAGCTGAGCAGGACCGCTTCGGAGCCCACTTTGGCGGTAAGGCCGGCCCCGCCGCAGAGGGAATCTCAAGAAGACTACCGAGGGTATCCGGTGCCGAACAGGATCGCTACGGCTCGCACTTCAGCCTTCACCCCAGCAACCCCGTTAATGCTGCCACGACATCGACTCTCGGCCTTGTACAAAACGCCCTGCTCCCTTCCTTTGGCCTCCACGCCGGCCTGAGCACCGTAGTCTACGCCGTTGCGCGGTACACCGATCGCGCAGAAGCAAAAGACTGGCTGTGGCCCTCCGGCCAAGTCGCCAACGCCTGGTGGACCGCCATCGGCGCACGCGTCGTCCACGACGGACTCTCCGTCCCCTCGGCATGGAACTCCCTGGGATACACTCAGAAGCTTCTCCTCACTGGTGTCAGTGCATGGGGTGCCCGTCTGTTCTACCGCATCGCCACCCGTAGCGTGAAGCGCGGCAAGGACGACGAGCGCTACGTTGCATTGAAGAAGAAGGATCCCAAGTTCTGGGACAAGGCCTTCTTCAGCATGTTCTTGCCCGAGGCGGCGCTGCAGGCGCTCATTGCTTTGCCGTTCACGTTGCCCTTCCGCGCGCCGTTGACGAGTGCCCGGTCGTCTGCCTTCACCGAGTTCCCCGAGACGTTCCATAGCTTGGCCGTCTTCCTCTTCACTGCTGGTCTCGCACTCGAGACTATTGCGGACAGTCAGCTTGAGGAGCACTCTAGTAAGAGTAAGGAGATTAACCGCGAGGGCGTCTGGAGCATCGTCCGCCACCCCAAGTAAGTGCCCCCTGATTCTAAACTTCTGTCAATGAACCGGGAAAGCTAACCAACCCTAGCTACCTTGGCGATGCTCTCGTTCACCTCTCCTTCCCCGTCCTTCTCTACAGCGCCGGCATGCTGCACCCCCTCGCTGCCCTCGGCCCTATCGTCAACTACATTGTCCTCCGCTACCTCGGCGGCGATAAGGTTACTGAGGCCAGCCAGGAGGAGCGCTACGCCAAGGAGAATCCGCTCAAGTTCCAGCAGCTCCAGGAGTACAAGCGCGACAAGAACAGCTTCTGGCCCAGTATTGGAGAGTACGATAACAAGTGGGTGTGGATTGTTGCTGCTGCTGGTGCGGTTGGTGTTGTTGCTGAGCGTGGCCTTCTTGCCTACTTCAGGGGTTAGGCTTTCTGAGAGGCGGGTGTAAAACATAAATGTAGTGTAATACTCTGCGATTGGTTGATCAT